GCAGGATATAAAATTAACACACAGAAATCCCTTGCATTCCTATACACTAACAATGAGAAAACAGAAAGAGAAATTAAGGAAACAATACCATTCACCATTGCAACAAAAAGAATAAAATACTTAGGAGTATATCTACCTAAAGAAACAAAAGACCTATACATGGCCCATTTTTTGATTGGGTCGTTTATTTTTCTGGAGTTGAGCTGCAGGAGCTGCTTGCATCTTTTTGTCGAGTCTTACCTGAGAACTCCACTGTCTCTCTTCTACACAGAGTACGTACTTGGGTGTTTATGCCGCCAGGAGAGCATGTTAAGACCATAGCAAACAGCAAATAGTCAGAAAAAGAAAACAGGAGTCATGGAGTTTGCAAGAAAAGTCATGGCGTTTGGAAGAGTTTAGTCTTTTTTTTTTTTTACCAGCTCTGTGAATAAGTTTCATAACATCTCATTGCCTGCTTCCTCCTCTCTGAAATGATCATCTTATTTCATTCTGATATTTTATGGATTAGGTATGTTGAAACACTTGAAAAAGTGCAAAGACCTACACACACATCAGACAATTGAGTGAACTGTGTAAGATTTTTGAAAATAATTTTTTCCTATTTTTTGTATTAAAGTAATGAATATAAAGTTAAGAAAATTTGGAAAATACACACAAGAAGGAAAAAAAATTATAATTTCTTATCATCTTTACTAAGTGAGAGATATGTACATTTTTAAGCAGCACTTTGGAAGTATAATTGATATAAAGTATATAGCTGTTAACATCTTTGTTTACATTCTTCCAGATTTCTTGTATGTATATGTACATATATATACATTGTTTTTATTTATAAAGAAATATAGTATAAGGAGATATTGAGATCATTGGTTTTCTGCTTCAAGACACCTTTATCTCTCAGTTTTGCCCTGCCTCACAGAGGATGTTATCTCTTGCTTATCTGGGATCATGGGCAGATGCAGAAGATGTGGAAGCCACAGGCTGTGGCTTTATGTCTCTAAGACTCATCCGTGCCCATCAGTCCCTCTTCTAGAGCAGGAGGCCAGTGGAGCTGCAGGCGTGGTTTGGGCCTGCACTGCCCTGGTTCCCAGCGCTCACCCCCTGGCCGTGACTCACCTTCTGAACAAGAGAGTGGGCCGCCTAGACCACACAGGTGAGCCAGAGCAGGGATTGCGGCCGGTCTGGATGACTGATGCCGGGTTTGGGACTGACTGCCCCCTGATTTGAGCACCTCCTTCATACAGGGGTCTCTCTGGTGACTCAGAAGGTAAAGAATCTGCCTGCAGTGCAGGAGACCTGGGTTCAATCGCTGGGATGGGAAGCTCCCCTGGAGAAGGGCATGGCAACCCACTCCAGTGTTCTTGCCTGGGAAATCCCATGGACGGAGGAGCCTGGTGGGTTATAGTCCATGGGGTCCCAAAGAGTGGGACACAACTGAGTGACTGAGCGGAAGCAGTTTCCTTTCACAGGCTCGTGCTCTGGGCACGTTCCATGCGCCTTGTTGGCCGAGTCCGTCTGTATGCAGTGGGCACGGTACCAAGGAACCCAGAGCAGGAAAGTTGGCAGAGAGCATCTGTCTCTATCCTGAGGCTGAATTTTTTCATTTTCTAATGGGACTCTTGGCTGTGGGAAGTTTCATATTTTGTTTCCACAGTAAAGTACCTCTGTATAAATTATTTTTGGCAGAGTGCTTCATTTCTGAGCACACACTCATTTGTGTGGAGTTTTGACTCAAAGCACATTTCCTTTGGGGAAAGCGATGGATTTACATTGCAGCTAAAGACCTTGGTTTGCTTAGCTAGGTGTATTTCATTGATTTTAGTTCATCGTTATCAATTAATATGCATAACTGTTCTAGATGTTGTCGGTTGATAATTAACTCCTTGATGTATCTTCACTGATTGATGGGTAACCTGGGATATTTTTGTCAGTTTCAGAAGCTGACACTCATGGTTTATATTCTTAGTTTCTCAGGGGAGGTGTACAATGGTTTTTGTATGTTGTAGGGCAGTACAGAATTCAGCAGAACTACATTTCCAAACTTGCATTATACAGCTCTCTAGTCCAGCAAAGTGAAGAGCTGACTCATTTGAAAAGACCCTGATGCTGGGAAAGATTGAAAGCAGGAGGAGAAGGGGACAACAGAGGATGAGGTGGTTGTATGGCACCACTGACTCAATGGACATGAGTTTGGGTAAACTGTGAGAGCTGGTGATGGACAGAGAGGCCTGGCCTGCTGCAGTCCATGGGGTCACAAAGAGTCGGACACGACTGAGCGACTGAACTGAAGTGAACTGAGTCCAGCAAAATATCCTGCCCTGAGGTTCTGTGATCAAAATAGTTTTCAACTGCTGCACACTTTATTCCTGTCTCGGAAATTTACAGAAAAGCACATTAGCATACTAAAAATGCTGGGAAATTGAGCCAAAGAAAAAAGTCTGTTTAAATTATCTAACAACATGTATCATTTAATAGAAGCTCTGAAATGGAATCTTAAGACTAAGATTAAAAAAAAAAGACTAAGATATAGCCCTATTTTAAAAAACTGCTTTTAATCAAACTCTGTATTGGGGTGAATATATTGAGATGTATTTTTGAGTTGTACTGTTGGGTAAATGAAAATGACAGATACAGAGTGTAAGAAGTCAGAAAGAGAAAAACAGATGTCATATATTAATGCATTTATATGGAATCT